TTCAGAAGGGTGGTATTCCAGGCGTTCCTGGGTGCCTTGAACACGCGACCATGATCTGGGAGGCTATCCAGAGAGCCAAGCATGAGAGAACCGATTTGCACGTTATATGGTTGGACTTAGCCAACGCCTACGGGGCAGTCCCCCATAGGCTACTGTGGCGAGCCCTTCGCATGTTTCACGTACCGACACAGATCAGTCAAATGGTCGAGCAATATTTCTCTAAGTTCGCTTTGCGCTTCTCTACCTCGACGTTTACCACGAGGTGGACTGAGTTGCAGATTGGGATAGCTATGGGGTGTACGATCTCACCTATACTGTTTGTCATGGCAATGCAGATCGTGTTAGACGGGGCGGCCGGCTACGGACTGGGCCTTCAAATAGGGGATCACTGGTTGCCGCCACTGCGCGCATTTATGGATGACACGACTATAATAACGGGCAGCGAGGAGTCTGCCCGCACGATCCTGAATAGATTGGACGCGGTGGTCCAATGGAGCGGTATGCAGTTCAAACCGCAGAAATCGAGGAGTCTGTCAATCCATAAGGGCAAGGTGTCGGCGACCAGTTTTACGGTGGCAAGGAACAAGATCCCTACGGTTCTGGAGGGACCGGTGAAGAGTCTCGGTCGCGTTTACGATTCGAAGTTATCTGACAGAGCGGAAGTCCGGCGAATACATGAGTCACTGGCTACAGGCCTGCTCGCGATCGAGCGATGCAGGCTGGTCGGGAAATTCAAGGTATGGTGTCTCCAATTCATGTTGATTCCGAAGCTTCTATGGCCACTGCTAGTCTACGAGGTGACGATGACTGCAGTGGAAAACCATGGAAAAGAAAATCAATACAGCCTTAAGAAAGTGGATTGGTGCACCGCCTTGTCTGACCGACGTGGCTCTGTATTGTAAACAGGCTAAGCTGGTACTTCCGTTCAAGTCAATAACCGAAGAGTTTAAAGTCGGCAAAGTTAGGCTCGCCATGCTTTTGCGCGAGTCCTCAGACCCAAATGTCATCGCTGTCCAGCCCGCTCTAAAGACTGGCCAGAAGTGGAAGGTCCTCGATGCGATAGGAGCTGCTCAGAACGCACTAAAATTGAAGGAGGTAATGGGTTACACACAAACCGACCGTCGAGGCCTAGGGCACGGGAAAGTCAATTGGTGGTCAAAGGCCTCAGCCAAAGAACGCCGAGACATGGTGATACAAACGGTGAGGGACAACGAAAACGAGATTCGGGTCCAGAAAGCAGCCCAGCAGTCGCAGCAGGGCCATTGGGTCAGCCTGGAGAGCGCATTGCCTAGAATACTCACATGGGGTGAGATCTGGCGGATGACCCCGCTGCGACTGAGCTTTATCGTTCGTTCGGCGTACGATGTATTACCGTCCGGTGTTAACATGGTTAAATGGTCTGCGACCAACGATCCGACTTGCCCGTTGTGCAAATCAAAGCAAACTCTTGAGCACGTCCTGTCCGCGTGCAGGAAAGCCCTAGGTCAAGGCCGCTATACCTGGCGCCACAACAAGGTGCTAAAAGAGTTAGCAGCCGTTGTCGACCAGGCTAAAATGAGGGCTAATGCCAGAGCCAGTTCTAGTATCGTCCCCATTCGTTTCCTCAAGGCTGGGCAGGTTCCAAAAGGTAATGTTAACAAAAACGCATTCGCTCCATCTGTGCTAGACTCTGCGAGGGACTGGTTACTGGCGGTTGATCTGCCAGGACATGAACGGTATCCCGAGTTGATCCGTAAAACCGGCCTGCGACCGGACATCGTTCTCCATTCTGCGCAAAAACGGCAACTCATCCTGATTGAGTTGACGGTCCCGTTTGAGTCGCGGATGGAGGAGAATCATTTGTATAAGCTCGAGAAATACAGTGATTTAGCAGCCGGTTTGAGGAGAAACGAGGCTTACACAGTACGGGTATTTGCCGTCGAAGTGGGAGCGAGAGGCCTCGTTTCCACTTCGCTCTACAATGTGGTAAAAAGAACTAGGATTGCGCGGTAATGAACGGAAACGAGCACTCAAAAAACTTGGTGAGGTGGCCGAAAGGGCATCCAGCTGGTTGTGGACGCAGCGCAACAACGTAGGGGACGGGCCTCGGTGAGCTGGTCCGGGTATCTAGTGGAAAAGAGTTTCTTATCCCTTTGAAAAGTCCATCGTGTACGAATTGTCTGCCAGTGTCTCTCTGCCAACTGCTAATAAAAGTCCAACATGTGTCCGGTAAACCAAAGTAAGCTTGTCGCTCGGTCGTCCAGGCATGCGGACTGTTCTAATTACGATGTCGCGGCGACTTCTTATCTCACAGTACCTCCTTCGAAACCACTAAGTCGTCTTGTCTCTGGCCGAAAGTGTAACACCATCCGGTAATTCTGTGCGGCGGGGAAGCAGCCCTGAGCTTCATGAACTCAGGTGGGCCCACCTCCGAATACGTTTAGGAATCGTGGGCCGAAACGTGTGTCGAAAGAGGATAATTTCTACTGATGACTGTAGATCCCCGCTGTACTTGCTCCCTGTGAGTTTATTCCTAGCTGTTCCATTTTCTTTTAATACCTAATCAGGAAGATGATAAGTGGAACAGCCTTTACATACTCTTATCAGGCCGAATTTTATTGTCAAGATAGCATTTAGGTCCAATGTCATCCTGTTTCTTAGGTTAGATTAGATAAATTCACTCCAAATGAAAAAAAAATCTAGAAAGACATCTACCATGTAAACGTCAAAAACGCCGTCTAAATGCAAAGGATGTATCTAAATCTGGATGTAAAACATTCAAAGTGGCAACACTGTCTGCTTCACAAACACTAACCGCGCTATCCCAGACTCATCTACACTTCCGGTAGAGACAACTCGCGCCTGAAACTCACAAGGAGTTCTGAAGTGTGTCATTTCTGAAATCGTGAGTAGCAACACACCTTTTGCTTCTTCGCTTCTGTGGCTACCGAGAAGGGACGGTACCCGGCAGCTGGTATTTCTCCTTTCTCCGTCGTCAACCGACTCACTCATCCATGTTGCTCAGGGAAATTCCGCCAGTGACGTCACCTAACGCTGATGTTCATTTTAAAAACATCTTTTGATGGACACAAACAAATCGCATTACAGACTTGAAATGAATGTCAAATAAAACTGCACTTAAACCAAAGAAAAGAACTTAAATCTTTAGCTCAGTTTGAACTTAAGAATTGCTAACAGCAGCCATAATGCAGGATACGTGATTAATATCAAAGTTGTTATCATACAAGTTTAAAAGAAATTAAATTATGGTATTATGCCAAGTCGCTAGGTATACAAGTCAAGTTGCGTACGTCAACCAATCTTCATTTACTGGCTGCCTTTTTACCCCATTAGGGCATCACACAAGCGATAAACACCCGATGACACAAAGTGCCACCATGCGGATGAGGATCACCCAAGGAGAGGTCCCGGAAACCGAGTTCATCCATTAGACTATATTTATGGCCGGGCTATATTGCGGCCCCTGGAAAAAGCCAGGGTGGGGCTTCAAAATAACGAAAAATTGCATCTCACTAGGGGATGACATGGTGCTACCAATCTTCATTGCACAAACAGAGCTAGAATATGAATGAGTTAATGAGAGAACACTGCTTTATAAAACATATACGCGCGTTACATTGTATTCGTCACAGTCATTACAGAAGTTTTTATTTTTTTGTTTGCAGAAGAATATGTGGGTTAGCTGTTTCTTTTTTTTTTTAAAGTTATTTCATTTAAAAAAGAATAGTATCTAAACAGTAAAAAAAAAGTGTGCAAGGCGAATAGCCCGCGTATTAAAAAGGTATCCTTTCCGCGTATCCTTTACAGGACGTTGCAGAGCCAACCCCAGCAGCCCCTGGCTGTTGTGTGGTTTCTCTAGGCAACGTCCAGTATTTTGCCATTGCCCCTGGACAGTCGGCCCCCTGATACCGCTGTCGAAACCAATGCAAGGGGCATGGCCTGCGGCGGGGATCAAACCAGGCACCCCGGCATTACAACGCGTTCACGTCGACTTAGCCACAAAGCAGCCCGCGCATACCCAGTGGAAAACCCCTCTTTTTTAACAAATTACTACCGTATCTGTAACGCATTTCCTGTTTTTTTTTTTTACACCTGTGCCTTAATGTTGTTCACTGTGTGTTTACAATATCAGTTGTGCAATAATTTGCGCGTATTCTCCCAAGGATTATCCTCTTATTCATACAAGCAAAAAGAACCCCAAAGCCCCAGCCCCCCCCCCCCCCCCGTACGTGCGCCCGGGGAACTCTGGCAGATACACGGAGAGAACTGAAAATATCACCCAATCAAAGAATGCGTTACAACAGAGCGCCAGCTATGTGCATTCCCCCTTCCAAATAGGGACATGGCTTGAGTCAGTTAGCAAACTTTCATCATGGTTCGTTTTTCGCCGCTTTTTTACTCTTTCCGTGGCGATTAAAAGCATCAAGAGGTAATTTCTTACCCGCTGAAGAGATTTGGTAATGTATTTCACCGTGTTTGTGACTTTAATTGACAGTTGTGGAGAATCTAGAAACCATATTTGCGAGATACCTGGACTAACACAGATGGCCGCCGAAGTCGTCTGCTGCTGCTGTGTGTTGTAGGCCACATTTGAGTTGTGGTTGCCCCGATTCTCATTCTCTCGCTGCTGCTGGCGTTGTTCGTTTAACCGCTCGAATCGAAACTCTTGTGGGTAGTTGTGCTTCTCGTTCGTCATCGGGTTGTTTTATTTGTCTAATTTGGCTGCAAACGTTTGGTTTCGTTTCACTTTAATAACATCAGAGAAAGAGGCATTCTACGGTAGAACTACCACTTGACATGCCAGGGTCCCGTTTGGGAAAGAAACTTAGACGTAAAAGTTTTCAGCCTTCTTCTAAAAGTTTCTGTAGGCTAAAAATGTGATTTCTGACGGATTCTGTTTATAAAAGTTCAGTTGCACTTCAAGGTAGGATAATTATTTTATGTGTAGGCCCGTGTGTTGAGACTTGTTATTCTGTGGGATTTTTCAAGAGGATTACAAAATGGCCTATGTAGCAGATGGCGAGATTGTGGACGGTTCTTGGGAACTGAATATTTTGGTAACAGACCTCCAGGTGGAGAAGACTTTACGAGTAATGGGAGATCTTCATATCGGAGGAGTAATGGTTAAACTTGTGCAAGCACTTGGTAAGTCTTTCATCTTTATTCTGTTAGTTTACTGTTGAATAAAATGCTTTAGTTATATGTATAGTAAGTATATACAGGAGTTGACCACACAAATAAGTAACTATTAAACTATTGATAGTGGTTCGGGGCCGATTACTTCTGAGATATCTCACTAGTAATAGTTCGGCAAATTATGTGTGTGTTTTTTTGCGTGCGCATGTGTGATGTGTGTACGTGCTTTGTAAATAATTTAATAATTGTTCATTGTTTTTGGTTCAAATATTTACTATTTACGCCTAATAAAAAAGTCACAGTAAATTTGTGCCTCTCAAATAAATAATAAAAGATGAGAGATCGAATATATATATATATACACACTATGTTTTAAACGTTTACAGCTGTGAATAATCAGCGTAGTGCTACCCTGAGAATTCCTTATCTGTTTACTGTACACACTCTTAACTTACCCTGCCATTCTCGTGAAACCATGTCAATGTCACCACAATTTTTGAAGTAATTTATTTTTTATGTTCTCAAAATTCTTCAATAAACAATTAAATGTTGCCCCAGTTTTGAGTTTATAAGTGGCTAATTTACAGATAAAAAAACAAGCACATTAAAGGCGCATGTGTGCTCATACATACACACTACACACCTGTGCTTTGCTTTTGCATGTTCATTTGTTATACATAAAAAAATACCTGTTCATATAGTGGCAGTCTCGTGCACACAATTTTGTGAACAGAAAATATTGCCATAATTCAAATATATTATTTAAAAAATAAATTAAGCCAGCCATTAAACGCTTTAATTATCAGACGGATAATGTAAATGTCTCTTATTGAAAGGTTTGAATACAATGTTGTTGTTTAAATTACTACTACCACAGGCTGATTTTGTTTAACTGATTCTTTTCCTTAAAAAAATGGCTAAAAATGTTTGTGTCAGAAAAAGTAAAAATAATAGCATTAAGAGAGGAGTTGAGTTGTTAATGGCTGGAGCAGAGTGAGCCAGCGTAACAACTGGGTTTAAGAGAAATATATAGTGTAAGAAAACTCAGTAGACCCATGGTGACTTTTTAGCTATTGAATAGGTTAATTAACCATTGTTGTTCAAATTTGTTATGAAGTTATTATTATTTTTATTATTATTATATAAACAGTAATTTCAAGACATAGTTTAAACACATAAATAAACCCACCGCCAGTATATGAACAGGTGCTGTGGTTACAGACAACTGTCACAGTAAGGTGAACCTTTATATAATATATAGTTGGTCACATATTATGACTGGGCTGATGCCAGATATGTTTGCCAAACAATCCCACACTTAGGTGTTGAGTCTTATGTTTTGCTAGTGAATGAACACAACAGATTGCTAGGATAGCTTTAACATGCATATGTACATATATATTTCTAGGATAGCTTCAATATTCACATGCATATATATTCCTAGGATAGCTTCAATATTCACATGCATATATATTCCTAGGATAGCTTTAACATGCATATATATTCCTAGGATAGCTTTAACATGCATATATATTCCTAGGATAGCTTTAACATGCATATATATTCCTAGGATAGCTTTAACATGCATATGTACATATATATTCCTAGGATAGCTTTAACATGCATATGTACATATATATTCCTAGGATAGCTTTAACATGCATATGTACATATATATTCCTAGGATAGCTTTAACATGCATATGTACATATATATTCCTAGGATAGCTTTAACATGCATATGTACATATATATTCCTAGGATAGCTTTAACATGCATATGTACATATATATTCCTAGGATAGCTTTAACATGCATATGTACATATATATTGTTAGGATAGCTTTAACATGCATATGTACATATATATTCCTAGGATAGCTTTAACATGCATATGTACATATATATATTCCTAGGATAGCTTTAACATGCATATGTACATATATATTTCTAGGATACCTTCAATATTCACATGCACACATATATATTGTTAGGATAACTTGAGCATGCACATATACATATATTCCCCGTGAGGGTTCCGGGGCCCTATTATAGGGAAAACAAAAATAGACCCACTGCCTACCCAAAAGCATGTCGTAAGAGTCGACTAATTGGAAGCTTCTTTCAAAAAGAGAGGCAAGGAACCAGTGGTCTGCATACAAATGAGTCAGGTCTGTAAAACGGATGAACACACAACACTCAGGTTTTGGAACAGGACTGCAGTCCAGAAGTGGATGAACAGCTAGAACTTTCCGCCAGAGTTTACAGCTGGTGAACGCGAGCGAACGAACGAAACGAACATGAACATATATATATATTGCTAAGATAGTTTCAACATGTACATGTATATAGCTAGGATAGTGTCAATGTACACATGTATATGCATTTGTTAGCATAGCTTCAACGTACACATGTAGATATATATTGCTGGGATAGCTTCAACATACACCTATACATATATATTTCTAGAATAGTGTCAGTGTACACATGTACATGCATATTGCTAGCATAGCTTCTATGTACACAGGTACATGCATATTGCTAGAATAGGTTTAGTGTACTCCTGTACGTCTATATTACTAGGATAGTTTCAACATACATATGTAATGTATTCTTTATCTTGAGTCATCTGAAAGGTGTAATATACATGTATTCTGTTGGTACAAAGGAGGTCACCATATGTTCATTGGTTACTTCAGAGGAAGTACTTTACCTCTCAGGCCTTCTTCTCACCCTAAGTTGTCGCCACTTCAGGTTACTTTGTGAACAAGGGGGCCTCAGTATTACCGTATGGCTGAACAGGGTTTCTAGGATTTTTACCTGGAGGTTCGCATCTGAATAGGGACATTTTGGGTCACCAGGTGTTTATCATTTAATATGCGGTCCTAGAGAGGTTTATCTTCACTCAGTCAATGTCACACAGAAAGTTGTTAATTTTACATATAACTCCTTCTACCGGAATTCATTGTTTACTTCATTATGTCATACAGTGCTATCAGTATAACCCAGTCAGGTCTAAACTTGTTTACCTGATTATAAAACTCATTGAATAGAAACAGTTGAAGTAATTGTAGGTTGGAAATGAAAGAGTTAAATAATGGGAAATGTTGTAAGAAGTAAAGATAGCCAGTGTGTTATTAACTACATAACCTAATGTGTTCCGACTGGTCTGTAAGGATATTGGGCTGTACTGATGACGCCCAAGGCATATTTTTCTTCTTAGCATTCAGCTGCTGGAAAGTTCTTTTTCTTCGCGTTCAGGAGCTGTACACTCTAGTGGAAAGTTCTGGTTGTTTGTCCACTTCTGGACTTTAATCTTGTTCCAGAACCTGAGATTTGCCAGAATAGCTATTGCACAGAATCAGGATATGTTTGTTATCAGGGCAGTAGGTCTTTTATTTTACCCTAAGGAGGGCTTCATTGGGATCTTCAAGGCATAACAAGTTTTCCTTTTTAATAGTGACATGTGTGGTTTGTATTCTTTCCTCTAACCGTTTAATTGAATCTATAATTGCTTGCTGCTCTGCTCTGACGTTTGTTTGAGGGTGCTGAATTGATGCTGCTGATTTGACAAGTGGTTCCATTGTTCACTGCCAACATTATTGTATGTCAGTGGATGCTATGGAACATCTGTTTAACATTTGTTGTCTTGTCTGTATGATCTATGGATGCCTCGTGCATCTATGCTTACTGTTTGCGTGCTACATATATTGCTTTTTATTTACAGTTGTGGTCGTTGTTTTATTACCACACTTGATTTTACTTAATCTCTGGCTTTGCCTTATACAAATGATACGTATGCAAGCTGTTGGATTTAGCCGGGACTGCTGTCTGGTTGACTCGAATTTATTCTTACATTTATTAAATTTATTGATTGCTAACTCATAGATTCTATTGTGTTTCTCCTTATAGATAATCTATTTTGTTGTGTGTCGGCATTTTCCACCGTTTTCTTTAATGTTACCGACCCATAAAAAACGTCTTGTAGTAAGTACCCAGCTGTTTGATTTCTGAGTCTGCGAATTTGACGCTGTCTGAGTCTCCTTTGGCGTTATATTTGAACTGCGTACAGCTCTGTGAATGGTGTGTCTATTACTGGGGGTTCAACTTGATAAGAATAATTACGTCAGAATAGCAATATCTGTGACACATGGAGTCAGTAGTGGGCCGTGGTTTGAAAACTGATGTGTTGTGTAGATTTGAAATACATGTGTGCCTTTCCAAACGACACTTATGGAGTGGTTCATTATTACGAGGGTTATCAATTATAAGCCTCCTTAATACCTCCCCTTACCCCATCTTTGGTGGATTATTGATGGCAACACAATGTTGGCTGACTTTTGACTGTAGATTCAGGTTGGGATAAAATAGACGTTAGTTTTGAAACATTTTCTTCAGTGGATGAGGTACTGTCGAAACGGCATGTCGTTCTCTAAAGAAATGCCTGCCCAATTCAGAAGTCTTCAAAAGCTGATGGTGAAGAATTCAATAACCTTTAACAACTGGCGGCCGCGCCACTCAACAAATTCCATCCAATATGAATGGCTGCACTAGTAACGTTTGCACAGTGTTAGATCATGGCAAATATTAGGTTTTCACAAATAATAAGTACTGGTAATTTAAGCGCAGGAAGATTAGAACGTCCTTCTCACGTGCCTGGCTTCCTTTATTTTGTAACCCCGTTACTGGGTGCTTATTGCTTCATATCAACTGTTTACTAGTCTTCGTAAGCCAAAAACAACCACCCAAAAAAAGTTATCAGGGTATTATTTGGGGTTCCAACTTTATTGCAAACAGGTCACCCTATATTTTCTCAGTTCTTGTGACAATTAGAACCACGCCGAATACTCGTCAATGTCCTATTTGAATAGTCAGACAGCTATCGAGGCAAATTGCAGCATCTCGCACACGTAACAAATATATAAGACAGTCACCACATCTGCTAAGACATGCAGTCTGTCAGATCACGAGGTAGACAAAGGACAAGATGACAGGATAACATCAAAGAACA